CTGGCTTTTGCCACTTTCTTGGCATATCCCTGATGAGGTTTTTCATCGGTTGGCATTGAGGGTTTAGAGTCCGACCTATGAGACTTAGAACGTTTCTTTCCATAGAGGAGAATTCTGGGAGATCCGGTATTTCAAATGGAACTTCTTCTTCCTCTTCCAGGGACATCGCCATAAGCGCCTTATCCATGGCGGACGACATAGTAGCTTCACTAACCGAAAGATTCTTAGAGCCACGCGAAACAAGCTGAGAAAACAAACAAACAACTTCACCCAGAAGACTAGCAAACCGAAAGGGAGAAAGACGACCGAACACCAAACTCCGAAGATTCACTATTGGGAAAGATAGGATGAACTACGAAGAACAAACACGATAGATCTAGCAAAGACAAGCTGAAAAGGTACTTTTGGCTGCTAAACAGGATAAAACGGCAAAGGGAAATGAGTTTTCCAGTCTGAAAAGTCTCTTGTATAACCTAATGAAAGCCACTAGTACACAAAGAGGGTCTTGAGCCCAAACAAGGGTGGTCTTGATGGAATCGCCTATTTTATCCCCTCACGAGAGCTTTTTTTCTTCTTAGTGAGTTTTAATTTTTTTTTTTAATAATATAACTAAGTTATATCCAAAAAAAATATCAGTTGGTTATTATTAAATATACAAATATTTAACATGTGAAATAGTAATAGGTGGTACAAGCTTATGCTACGGAAATAACTATTTATTTGATAAATTAGATGGTAATATTATATGTAAACGATGTACCACACCAAGTGCTAACAGCTCAATTGGTAAAGATCTCTGACAAAATCTTAGAGGTCGCCGGTTCGAGTAGCGCTTGGGATGAAACCATATAACATGCTCTGGTTTCGGGCATGAGAGGATGTATGGGTTTCGGTCCAAAACCTCTTTGATTATTCAAAAAAAAAAAAAAAACTATGTACCACAACATTAGCTCTTCTCAGCACTTTTAGTTAAAGTTGTTTTCCAAATCAGTTATATGTTTGATTTTTTTTTTTTTTGTTATCTCAGTTATATGTTTGATATATTTTTTAAAAAAATTGTAATATTTTCAGAGAATTTAACATGTTGTACTGTTGTAATATTAAAAAAAAATTGTAATATATCCTCATCTCTTAGACTAAAAAGAAACAAGAGTAAAACTAGATGGGAGAGTGGAAAACACAAGTGGGGTTGTTGTTGAAGTTCAGTAGACAGAGCAATAAGGCAGACAAAAATAATGGCCCAATTGTAGCATAACTCTTTTTAAGTCTATAATCATGAGAAACCAGCTCTAACTTTGATGCAACTTATTAATTTCATTTCTTTCTTTCTTTCAGCTCTAGTACTTTTGAATGTTCTATTTGTTGAAAATGCATAAAACTCAATGTGCCCTAAGGTAAAGCTGAAAAAAAAAGATAACAAAAATAGTATAAGTTGGCATTTACCATTGAGATGTGTTATATATATGCTTAGTGATATGCATAGTGAAGAGAAAGCCCACAAGAAAAGTGATAGAAGACCATGATAGTATGGTTTTCGCATCGGTCAAAATGACTAAGTAGAATGATGTAAGTTCGAGATGGGACTTATGATGTTAAGGAAGCTCGAAGGACCTAGCTCGAAGTGGCAGATGATGGACAAACAAAGCATGCCAAGGACATGTAACGTGTATGGTTAGCCAGAGACATGGTACAAGATCTCATGGCTATTAGAAGAAGCCTAGCTAGGAAAACTGGAAAAGTTTAGCGAAAAATATTGCGTCAAAATAAACACAAAAGAAAAAGTATGTACTCCAAGTCCAACGAGCCAAATCAGTCAAACATTGAGATATAGTAAATTGAGATAGAGCAGTAAAGAAAGCTCACTATGGAGCCACAATGGTCTCTAGCTAGATTCACTTTAGGGTTCGTTTTTATATCTTGCATCAAACTGTCTTCTACCGTACGTAGTCATTATGCTAATTGTTTGAATTTAATGATTTGGTGCAAGAATGTGATCATATATGCTTCCATGTTTTTTAATTTTATCCTTTTTTTGGAATGAAACTATGTATGTATTAGGTTATACTTAGCCATGTAACTCAAATTGTCATAGAGAAATGAATATTTACATTCGTATTGAAAAACAAAAAAAACAAAAAGCTCACAATTGGTGGTTTTTTTTTTCTTCTTTTCATTTTACTATATAGTCTAGCTATGTATGATTCAAGCATGTTGTTAGAGAACATTAATGATACTCTTCACCCATCACTACATTACCAACTATCTATTGTTTCTATTTCTCGAGGTAGTAGTCACAAAACTTAAGACAAAAAGTAAAACATATTACACTATTGAATTGTAATGAAAATCTTCAACGATATATATTTTTATAGACAAGGTTTACAAATCTGGTTTCACTATAGGCTTTGAGTTTATTCAATAAGTTCTTTGAACAAAAACTTTTCGAATTTTCAAATTCATGTTGCACTCACTAGTTGTAAAAACGATATAAATAATTTTTACTATAATTTAACATTAAATTCAAAAAACAAATATCTTCAACGATATCGGCTGTCTTCGCATTTGCTATGGCCCCAATCAACAGGCAAGCTTTCCACTAAATTAAGGTAAAGGTTCAAAACTATATAAGCTTATCACACACTTGGTTATACGTACGTACTTAAGCTTTTGGCAATAAGTCACAAGTTCTAATTTATCCCATGGTTCATCCAGCTAAATTACATTTACTATATGAAACGTTAGATACATGTAGATGAGAAGATCTTTTTTTTTTCTGTGCATGTAAACCTGTATTTGGAGATGTCGTATCGAAATGAAATGAGATATATATGCTTTCATAATTACTAGAAATAATAATATTCTCTGGCGTGGGCCATTTCACATGATTCCAAATAAGAAAGAGACACAAATCACCTCAAAAACGCTTATGATTATTATATCTTTCATCGTGCCCTCAATATCTACCCAACTTGATCCCCCCCGACCATTTCTCATCATTGTTTTCTCAATGCACACAAGTATGTATATAGTCTATAGATAGTATCTAGCTAGCTATATTATTGAGTCTAAAGTCTACAAAATGCAATTTGAGATCATGTTAGCTTCCTAACAATGAGAAGTTTTTGATAGTTATTAGTATCTTAATCAAACTAAAACGTATTAGGACCGTCTTCTTTCCTAGTCAATAATGACTTTTCAGTAGAAATATTCAAACTTCAAATACTTTTCAGTTTCATGTAGTATGTAGAGAGATGACTCAAATGTCCATTGACATTTCTCAAAGAAAAAAACAAACTTGACCATTCCTCTCTAACAATGTAGGCTAGTGACCACATGTCTATATAATTCCACTGTTTGTTTTCAAAATAGTTTATCATTTCCTTTAATAAGTAATTACAAAAGGGTTTAAGCAGGTTACCTAACCCTTAATTAGATTAGATACTATAGAGTATTAGTGGACCATTCATATGTTGGGTTTCTCTTTTAGGTTCTAATTAAGCGTTTACTTAGTTCAAAATATAACTAAAAGAAAGAAAGAAAGCAAAATTTGCCGTAGAAAGGGACAAACAACCTAACGTTACAACTTACACGAGTTGATTCACTATTGTTTTAACCTAAACACCACTTTTTACGTAGGTTTGACTTTTGATATGTGATAAAATTAAAATGGGTGCTAAAGTTAATCTAATATGTTAATATTTTGGTACATGTCTAGAAAATATAGTTTAATGATAGACTAAAGTTTTGGTTACTAAAATTCAAACTTTCTAGGGAAAATGATATGTTAAAGTTGACTTATTTTGGCATGTGTCATTGATAAGAACAACTTTGTTTTATTTGAACTAGATAAGAACTCTTCTTGTCAACTTTTATTACATTCCCGAAATTTTTAGAAATCATATATATAAAAAATTTCTATAAACTATTTTCGATGAGTTCATTAATCGTATTATATATATATATATATATATATATATATATATATATTATCTATTTCAGAATATTATGAACATAGTTAAAAGAATATTAGCTTATAAATTTAATTAAAAAAAAGTACTGGTAGTTGAAGAACAGTTTGCAGAAAACTTAGGACTCATCAAATCATTCAAATTATACTACAACATTATCAAAATGATGTAATGCTTTTCCATTTGAACGACCTATTGAAAATATTCATGAAATTTCAATGGCACGAAACATTATAATGTACATGCAGATCTTGACATATATAAATAGCTATACTTTCAAACCGAACAAACAGATTTAATTCAATTCAAACTGGAATAAATCAAATCATAAAATCAAGCTATATATTTTTATGATTTACATCAATTCAAACTTGAATAATCAAACCATAAAAACTGATTTAATTCAATACAATTTTTCTATATAAAAAACACAGATGCCGAAGTCAAAAACAAAGAAGAACATAATTTAAAACCTATTTTTTTTCAAACCGAAGCTATATATTTGATTTAGATTTTTTTAATATATAGATTTTTTTTTCTTTTTTTTCTACTACCAATATTATATATATAAATCCAGAAATCTGATCACACAATATCTATGTAATCATTGTGACAGTAATAATATGCTATTAAGCCGAGACTGACTATATATGAGACACTACTTAATTTCAACGTCGAAATGAATCACATGAAGAAAACAAGATGATTTGATTATTAAAATTTTATTTCACGAAAACATCTCATTACGTATTAAAATTGCCTATATATTTTTGTGTATATGTTTTGAATTTTAAACTAGGTTGAAAAATGAAAAAGACAAAACACTAAGACCTAGTTTTTTCCATTTCGTACAGACAAGGATGGGAGAGTAGTTAATATAAAGTTGCCGGAACATTAATTAGACTACAAAAACACATAGAGGCAAGATATGTCAAAGTAACGATGGAACAAAACACATTACACGTGTGAACTGTCGTTATAGACCAACGAACCAAATCCGAATTAGATTCTTTTCATCAAAGACCTAAGAAGAACCAAACTTGTAACGTTATAAAACACATACTTACATTATTTTACATACAGTAGTGTACTTACATCATGTGGAGAATCATATACCCCATTATGGGTCATCGTAACGTGTTAGACAGAGTATAATATCACTAGACATAAGAATAAATATTTTGATGGAATATATCATTTCATTAAATTTAAAATAAATCTGATAATTCAATCTTAGTGACTACAATAATACTAGATTTAACATTATAAGATATGGTTTAAGAAAAAATAATGTATATATGAAATTTAATTATTTATTTGAATCTGTAGGGCAAATCCAGGGATCAACTGTTGTTGTTGTAGTTGTAGTTGTAGTAGTAGTACCTGAAGAGCCTTTGGTCGGAGCTGAAGAAGAAGATGAGACATTATTGTGATTCTCCGGTCTCTTTTCCGACGTCCGACGGTCAAACTCCGAGAACTGTCTCATCATTAGCTGGTGGTTATCATCAGCAGTTGGATGGTGATGATGTTGATGTAATGATCCGAGGTTCATTGAGTCAAGCTCGTGAAGAGGAGAGAGTGTTGTTTGATGATGATGTTGGTGTGATAAGAGAGACTGAAATGTAGAAACTTGGTGAGTCTGAGTCTGAGTCTGAGTCTGAGGGAGAGGTAGATCTGGGAAGGTCATGGAAGTAGTTGTGTGAAGATGGTTGAGTAAAGAAGATGGTGATGATGAAGGAATCAAAGGTTTTTGTGGGATGGGACGAAAAGGGTTGTAAGTAAGAGAGTCGGAGGGAGATCGGAAGATATCGAAACGGCGAGTAGTGGAGGAGAAAGGGTGAGAGAAAGGAGAAGCAGGGACGCCGGTGAATTCTTGAACCATAGCTCTGAAGTTAGAAGTGTCGGTGGTGAGGACAGTGGTTGGTGCTCTTCTTGAAGCTCTTGTACGTTTTCTAGGGTTTCGGGAGGAAGAAGGAGGAGGAGGAGGAGGTTGTGGTGGTGGTGGAGGAGGAGGGAGGAGATGGTTTTGGTTGAAAATGTCATCGGAGATGAGGTTGTTTACAAAGTTTAGGTAAGTAGCGGAAGAGGAAGAGGAGGAAGAGAGAGTTGTTGGGTCGCCGTAGAAGGTAGAGGAAGAAGGTTGTGGTGGTGGTTGGTAAGGAGGGAAGAAGAAAGAGGAGTGATCTTGTGGTGGTGGAGCACCAGTTGATGAAGAGTCATGGTCGTCGCTTGAAGATTGCAAGCTTCCACTATTACAAGAATCCATTGGGACATGTGGAAGAACACAAGAACATAAACAAGACAAGGTTGTGTTTGTGATAGAATCTAGGGTTTTGCAAAAATGAAGCGTGTTGGAGAGGAGATAGCAAAAAGGGTTTTGTTTTTTTACTTAAAGAGGTTGAAGGGAGAGGTATGGTGTCGCCATTGATGGAGAGAGGCGGTGGCTGGCGAAGAGTCAAACTCAATCTGAAAGCGAAGACGAGAGAGGAGAGAAGAGAGAAGAGAGAGAGATATGTCTCTTTCTTTCTCTAGTGGGGGATGTGGTGAATGTGAAAGGAGAGATAGTGTTGGATTTTTACAAGAAAAATATATATACACACAAAATAAGTAACAAATGTGTATAATATATACTTTTGATTCGGACTTTTGTGCAATTGTATCGAATGCTAGCTTTATTTTCGTGAAAAGACGCATACGGACTCATTAAATTTACATTTATATATTTGTGACTAGATTTTATTTTAGTCTATCGATATACCAGGAGACAAATTTTTATTTAACTAGTTGTTGATCCGCACAACATGGTTTATAATTTTTATTTTTTACTTTTTGTTTTATTTGCAAGGTTTGTTTTGTTATTTTTTGTTATTTTTTCATATGTTTGTTTTTACTATTTTTATATTAATTTATTATTTAAATTGTTTATTATTATTTGTTTATTTTTAATTTAGATCCAATAGTAGGTGGTGAGTTTTATATTTCATATGTCTTTAATTCTTGTAACCCTCACACACTTTTATAAATTATCAAATTTATATTAGCTCATCGTATGGATGCATTTAATAAGTTCTGCATTAAACCAACATTATATAGATTTATATAGATATAATTTTTAAGAAATTCATTTTTTTTCACTGAAAGATTTTCATTATATAATAGAAGGATGAAATACAAGGGTGGAATATGTTTTTGACCGATAACTTTTTTATGATACTTTTTTGCAAAACTACTCTTTTTTTTTTGGTCTTCTCTTAAATTTTAATGGTCATTTTGCCTATAAATAGCAAGTGCATGATGAATTGAATTCATAACTCAAAACATAAACAAAACACATAGAAAGAAAAACTTTTCTAGAGAGAAAAAGTCCTCCAAAGTGTAAAGCAGGGACCATGAGATGTACGCAATACGACAATGAATGTACATTCATAGCGACCCGGAGACTGGTGATGTGATGAGGGAAATTCGCGATGGTTTACGGGGGTTCATGTACCAAGCAACAAACCAACATTTTGCTCGTGACACCGGTACAATTTTCTGTCCATGTCGTAAGTGCCTAAACGAAAAATATTTGGAGTTTAATCTAGTGAAGAAACATCTTTATAATAGAGGGTTTATGCTTAACTATTATGTATGGTTTCTTTATGTAAAGGGTTGTAGCGATAACGCTGGAAGTAGTACGCATTATGTTGCTGGTCAACCTAGTAATTATAAAAATTACGGGCATCAAGAATATGATCAATTTGGTTTTCATGGGTTTAACCACGAAAAAAGATTCCATGATATGGTTAATGATGCATTTACTAAAAGTAATCATGCATTTGATGAGAATAGTACAAAAGAACCCAACGTAGATGCAAAACGGTTTTATGATATATTAGATGCTGCAAATCAACCTATCTACGATGGATGTAGAGAAGGGCATTCTAAGTAATCATTGGCATCTAGGATGATGGCAATTAAACCTGATAATAACTTAAGTGAAATTTGCATGGATTCATGGGCTGAGTTAATTAAAGAATATTTGTCAAAAGATAATTTATCGGCTGAGGATTACTATGAAATCCAAAACTTGGTTTCAAGTCTTGGGTTACCATATGAAATAATTGATGTGTGCGTTGACTACTGCATGATTTTTTGGAAAAATGATGAAAAGTTGTAGGAATTTCAGTTTTGCGGGAAGCTGAGATATCATGATACTCAGAAAGGACTCGAGTTCCATACAAACGTATGTGGTACTTGTTGGAACTACAATTTTAACACAATGGCTTCAGCCAGTTTTCTAGTGACTTTTCCGGTGACGTCCGTCGTCGGAATGACCGGATGTTGGAGTCTTTGGATTCCCTGTAATAAGCACTATAAGTTAGTGTATTTTTACTTGTCAAAATCGAAGTTATAATGAATGAGAAATGGATCTTCAAAGTGGTTAGCTTGAAAGCTTATTATAACAAATATGTGCATTTGTCCCACATTGGAAGATTGGAAATATTCCCACTAGTATATATAGTACTACTCTTATACCAAGGTTCTCTAACTATGAGAAAAGGAGACTATAGTGCATGAGATGATGGACCGTTATGCAAAACACACACACGCTCGCGTGCCGCCGCCGTGCCGTGCCGAGCTTGGGCTTGGTCTTGGGTCTTGGGTCTTGGAAAATGGGCCCAGGGCCCAGTCAAGATTATTCAAGAATGTTCGTTTAGCAAACGTTCGATGGAATATGATATCAAGTGTGACGATTTATATTCGAGTTGATTGTATCATGGGATCCATCTACCTCACCAACCGCCACACTACGGGAGCTTGTTTGGGTTAAGGACATAGATAAAATCTCTTCTTCAACTATTTATTTTTGTTTACAAAACGTTTTTTCAAATGAGATTTTAATCGTTCTTCTTATTTGGATTTTCGCAGATCTAACATTCTTAGCCCAAACTCAAATACGTTTATTACTTATTGTTCTAAACGGATTTGCGAACGCGTAACAGTTTTTCAAAAATTGATTTCTACCTTTTATTTTGTTAACGATTCTAAACATTCTACGAAAGCTCTTTAGCTAACTCGTTCAACGTATACAATAGACAAAAATAACATTTTATTCGGAAATCATTTAAGCGAAGGCCTTCGGGTGTGTTTCACAAAATGGTTCCTTATACGATTCTCGAGATTTAAACGATTTTCGCGAAGGCCTTTAAGGTGAGATTCGCGAAACGTTTTCCAGCTAATCCAAGAAACTAAAAGCGATCTAATAGACGTTTTTAAGAGTAATCTGGGACCGTTTTATAACGATATCCACAGAAACTCATACACTTCTAGGAAGTAGGAACTTTCTTTAGCAATATCCACAAAATTTTTTAAAATTTTAGTGACTTAAATTATTTAATCACTATTCTTTAAATCATAATCTGTTCTAAATATTGACAAATTCTTTCTCTTCCTTGAACATATGACTAACGAGTGTTGACAACGGAAACATCCTTGAAGGTGATTCTCAAGAGAGTTGTGAGCAGACAACCCAACTCGGGAGTAGTCTTCCACCTACGCTTCCACCCCCTTTATCGGCTAACCTCATTCCAAAAACTGAGGCAACTCCGAAACCGAGCATCCCAAGCTTTGCAGTGATGTCCGAAAAGTTTGATGGTAGAAACTTTGCCTCGTGGCAACAAAAGATGCATTTCTTCCTCAGCACTCTTAATCCGTAGAGGTTCCTGGAAGAGGATGCTCCAATGCTACCTGCTGAGAACTCTGAGCCACAAGTGCTGGCAAGTGTTCACGCATGGCATCACTCTGACTACCTGTGCAATGGGACCATTCTCAGTGCAATGGTCGAAAAGTTGTTCAAGGTTTACAGCAAAGTGACAACGTCCAAAAATCTGTGGAGTGCTTTGAAAACAAAGTACAAAGTGTTCAATGTGGGCTCTAGGAAACATGCTACAAAGAAGTTTCTCAACCTTCGCCTGGTGGATTGAAAACCCATCATGGACCAGATTCATGAGCTACAAGTGATGACACAATAGATAGCAGATGAAGGAATGAACATTTGTGAGACGTTCACAGTTGGAGCGACTTCAAATACTATCTTGACCACAAGCGAAAGCCGATCACTATGATGAACCTGATCTCCAGGCTGCATAATCAGTCAACTGAGCGTGACAAAGCTGGGTACGCCATTAACAAAAATGCTAACATAGCTGAGTACAAGAGGAAAGGAAAAGCCGAGGTTGGAAATGGCAACCAAGGAGCCTCACCCAAAGAGTTTGGAAAGAAAAAAACTGCACCCCAGTCCCCCACTAACTTCAAGAAGCAAGGCGGGCCTAAGAAGTTTGCTGGAAAGTGCAATCATTGTGGCAAAATGGGTCACAAATTTGCCAAACGTCGTAGCAAAGACAAAGGAAAAATAAAGCCAATTTGACTGAAGAATACCTGTGTGCGGTGGTCACAGAAGCAAATGTGGTGTTGAATGATGAAAACCCAAGGGAGTGGTGGTACGACACTGGAGCTACTACCCACATCTGCATTAATAAAAACATATTCAGCACCTATTAGAAGTGCAAGACCGGTGAGATTCTGATGGTGGGAAACGTGTCTCACTCCAAGATCGTTGGCACCGCCAAGGTAATCTTGAAGATGACTTCAGGAATGGCTATCACGCTCTCCAACGTGAAGCATGTTCCAGACATGAGGAAGAACCTAGTCTCTGGGACTCTATTGAACAAGCATGGCTTCGCTACCAACTTCGTGTTCGACCAGCTGACCCTAAGGTTGAATGGTGAGTTTATTGGTAGAGGTTTTGTTAAGGGATGACTTGTCAAAATGTGTATTCAGACAATACTCAAGAAAAATGATGTAGTTTCTATTTCTGGTTCTAACCATTCCATCAATAAAAATTTAGTTGCTTATTTGGTTGAGTCTTTTGATTTATGGCATGAACAATTAGAACATGTGAATTATGAAACCATGCAACGGTTAATTAATTTAAACCTAATTCCGAAATGCAAAATAAGCAAACAAAAATGTGAAGTTTGTGTGCAAGCTAAACTCACAAAAACACCATCTCCTCATGTTGAAAGAACAACCGAACCTCTAGCCTTAATACATACAGATTTGTGCGATTTAAAATACATACAAACTAGAGGCGGGAACAAATATTTTGTAACTTTCATAGATGATTGTACAAAATATTGCTAACGTTTACTTACTACTACGTAGTAAAGACGAAGTCTTGGAAAAATTCAAAGAATAAAATCGAAGTTGAAACTCAACTCTCAAAAACTATCAAGGTAGTTCGAAGTGATAGAGGAGGCGAGTATGATGGACCATTTAATGCCTTTTGTCAAGAAAAGGTACTATTCATCAAACTACAACTCCCTATTCACCAAAATCTAACGGACTTGCGGAACAGAAAAACCAAACCCTAAAAGAAATGATGAATGCAATGTTGCAGGAATCCGGGTTACCCCATAACCTGTGGGGAAGCTTTTCTTAGCATGAACCACCTCTTGAATAAAATACCGCATAAAGTAA